AATTCATCTCCCCGAACTCCATCTACTACTTGATAGCATTGGTCAGAGGTGACTTAAATACCAGTATTAAGTATATACTTTTCAGGGGCAGAGTGTCAGATACAGCAAATGGTTTCTTCAACCATCTATTCCAAAATCTTTTTTGTTGTGCTTCATACATTGCTAGATTGAAAGGAAAGAAGTTCAGTTCTCAGACTCCTTAGCAGCTACGGTTTCAGATATGAGGTATGCTTATGGGGCCCACCAGAGAGAGACATAAACTTGACATAGAGTGTGGTAAAAATACCAAGAAACAAAAGGAAGTCAGTCTATAAATATAGGTAGAACAAGACTGGAGAGCCAACAATTCTGTGACAAGGATGGCTTGCAGTTCACCAGATCACACCTAAGCTTCTGGACTGCAGGAGAGGTAGCCTGACAGATGGGCCAGTGGAGGTAGGGGTTCAGGAGGTCATTCCTGAAATCGCCTCCTCCAGTCTATGTAATTTGTAAATATATAAATTCCGGTGTGAAGCCTGTTTGAACTAACAAGAGTTTTCTTTTTTATTTTTTTCCCCCAGTACTAGGACTGAACCCAGGAGGACTCTACTATTGCTACATCTCCAGTCCTTTTTATTTATTTCGAGATAGGGTCTCACTAAGTTGCCCAGGATGGCCTTGAACTTGAAGTCTTCTTGCCTCAGTCTCCTAAATAAATGGGTTTCCAGGCGTGCGCCACAACACCTGGACCATTTTATGGTTCTGAAAGAGCAAAATCAATTTCACTGTACCACAAAGAACACAGCTTAAAAATTGATTTTAAAAGATATTTTGGGAAATACCCTCATATTACAGCAAAATATAATGTCAATCACAATTACTTTACCTGTGCCTCTTTCTCATGCACCTGCAGGCACTGGGAGCGGAACACCTTCCAACTTCAGGGTAAAAACACGACAGTGAGAGCTCCACCCCGGACTCCCATCCCGCTAACCCGCCCCAAGCCCTCGGCGTTTCCCCCACCCAGCCCCAAGTCCCCCGTGTTCGCCCCACACACCCCGCCCCAACTCCGCCCACTCGGCGTGACACTCGGCGTGACACCCAGCCTACCTGCGCGCTCCGCTGTCGCCGCACTTGGGGCGCGCGCAAGAGAACACGTGCAGTAGCCGATGGAATGGGGAGCCTTCCAGCGGGCAGTACACCTGCACGACCAGAGTTTGTGGCTCCTTGCAGCGTTCACACACAGGCCTCGGCGCTGCTACGGCAGGCAGGGCATCCTAAGGAAGGGGGAAGCGCTCAGACCCCGACTCTGTCCCCGAACCTCTCCGCTGCCTCGCTGCGTACGTACTCCTCGCCGGCACCCGCCCACCCCACCTGCGCTCGCCCTCACCGGAATCCCACCCAGCTTGCTAGCAGTCCAGGCACTTGGCCCGGTAGGGCTGCCTTGCACTGCCAGGTCTCTAAGCCCGAGCAGCACCGGCTTCCGAACAGCCGCCATGACAACCTAGTTCGCACGTGAAAAGACGGAGTACGGCAGCTGAGAAGGTACAACTCTGCGCACGCGCATCATGTAACCAGCGAGACCCCGCCCAGTGAATAGGATGGGTTCTGAGAATGCTGAAGTCTCATTTTAAAGTGTTTGGGCTGGGTCAGGACTCTGCAGATAACTGCTGGTGTCATAGCTTTAAATGCGGGAGCGCCTAGACGTTGTGCCTTTTAATGTGCTGTGATAGGAAATACACACCATCTACCATGACGAGATCTTGCCAAAAAACTTTACCTGAAAATAAAATTTTAGGCCAGATAATGGTATTATGACGGGGCACCTTTGAGATTAGAAGCCCCCGTTTTTTTTTTCCCCTCCCTATTTCCTGGTTTCCATTCCAGCTTCTTCATTCTGAGAATGGAAGCTGAGTTGCTGCCCCAAAATTCTAGGCGGGTGGCAGCCAAGATTGAAAAACTGAAATTAGGGGGCTGGGGTTGTGGCTCAGCGGTAGAGCACTCGCCTAACATGTGAGAGACCCTGGGTTCAATCCTCAGCACCACATAAAAATAAATAAAATAAAGGTATTGTGTCCAACTTGCACGACCAGAAGAAAAACTGAAATTATAACTCTGGCTAGTACAGCCCAACTAAATCCACATACATATTTCTTAGTCTTTGTTCCTATAAATTATAAAGTTTCTGTAGGACTAAGGCAAATTAGCTGTCTTCCCAGTTTTGGCCAAATTGTGATCAAATTCATTTTTCTTTCCATATGTTCCCTCTTACTTCGGATTAACAATTCAGTTACTGGGGAACCCAGCAGCCTTTGGTCTGCAGTCCTGGTAACAGTATCTGCCCTTAGCTAGAAAAGAAAAACAAAGTCCCTGATTTTTGAGAAGTACATACTGAAATGTGTATAGATAAAATGATGTATCTAGGATACAACAAAAAGAAGTGGTATTGGGTAATAAAATTGGCCATGAGTTGGTAATTGTTAACATTTGATGCCAGGCACATGGAGGTCAGTCTGTATATCTTGGGAATTTTCCATACTGAAAGTGTTTTCCTTTTTTTTTTTTTTTGTATGGGAAATTGAATTCAGGAAGACTTGACCACTGAACCACATCCCCAACCCTATTTTGTATTTTATTTAGAGACAGGGTCTCACTGACTTGCTTAGCACCTCATTTTTGCTGAGGGTGGCTTTGAACTCTTGAATCTCCTGTCTCAGCTTCCCAAGCTGCTGGGATTACAGGCATGTGGCACTACACCTGGTGTTTTCCCCTTTTTCTTCAGGAGGTGGGGGAGAGTACTGGGGATTGAACGCTGGAACACTCTACCACTAAATTACATCCCCCAACTTTCTCTTTTTCTTTTGAGGCAGGGTCTTCCTAAATTTACCAGGCAGGCATTGAATTTTGGATCTCCAACCTCAGTCTTGCAAATAGCTGGAATTACAAGCATGCAACACCACATCTGGCATAGTAAAAAATTAAAATGGCACAGCGTGAGTTAATTTCAAAAGCGTCATGCTAAGAGAAAGAAGTTAGATGCAAAAGACTGTTCTGGACAAGGCAAAACTTCAGGAAAACAGATCAATTGTGGCCAGGAATTGGGTTTTAGGGGAGGGATTGGCCACTAGGGGGTGCCATGAACTTTTTGAGATGAGAAGAATGTTTCTGTTGTGGTTACATGATTGTATACATTTGTCAAAACTCAAAAATTGTAAATCCCATAGTGGCATTTGTGCTTGTAATCCCAGGGGCTTAGGAGGCTGAAGCATGAAGATTGCAAGTTCAAAGCCAGCCTCAGCAACTTAGGGAGACTTTGTCTCAAAAAGTATAAAAGGGCTGGGGATGTATGTGGTTTCTTGGTTAAACAAGCCTGGGTTCAATCCCTGGTATCAAAAAAAGTAAAGCCCTCAAAATTGTATACCAAAGTTGAGTTTTACTGTATGTAAATTATATCTCAATAAACATGATATGTAAAAGCCATAAATTGTAGGGCTGGGGATATAGCTCAGTTGGTAGACTGCTTGCCTTGCATGCACAAGGCCCTGGGTTCAATCCCCAGCACCACAAATAAATGTAAGTTGCAAAAGCACTATTTCAAGATTCTTAGATCCAAGATGTGTAAAGGAAACGTGTTTGCAAGGACCTGTACTTCAGAGGAAGCACCAACCTTGCAATGTTGGACTCCAGCCCCCACCTGCCACTTTCCTTGGTTACTCCTAGAGTTTGTCACTGCCAACCTGACAGCTTTAAAAGACTGTGAAGTCTGACCTTGATATTCCCTTCAAGTCTAGCTAGATTGGACAACTTGCAGGTATAGATTATTATTGTAGCTAATTCCCAAGATATTTTAAAGTTATTACAAGAAGTAGACTTCAGAATTCTTATTCTTTGCTAACCCAAGAATACATTCTCTAACAGGTAGTGACCTCTCCTGCACATATTTTATCTGCTTACCTTATAATACTACTAGTCTCTTCATGCATGTGTCACATGGGGCTGGGATTTCAATCTAGGGCCTTGAACATAGTGCTAAGCATGTGACTACTATAGTTTTGGGTTTCTGTGAGATTTTGGGGAGTACTAGGGATTGAACCAGGGGTATTCTACCACAGAACAATATCCTCAGCATCACCCCCACCCCCTGCAACTTTTTTTTATAATTTGAGATAGGGTCTCATTAAATTGCTTCAGCTTCCTGAGTAACTGGGATAAAAAGGTATGACATAATGCCTGGCTTGCCTTCTCCCTTTAAGAACAAAAAATACAGATCTTGGATGTGTTTCTGTCTTTAAGAAGGCATGTGACCAAGCCAGACTGAAGTGGGTGACTTAACCAGGTACAGTGGTGCACACCTGTAATCCAAGCAACCCAGGAGGCTGAGGCAGGAGGACCACAAGTTCAAGGCCAATCTCAGTAACTTAGATCCTATCTCAAAATAAAAAGCATTGGAGATGTGGCTCAGTGGTAAAGTTATACCCCTGAATTGTGAGTGACCCAGGAGAGGATGGGACAGAGGCAGTTCTAATAACAGGGTGGGAGGAAGCAGTTTCTCTATCCAGACTATTCCAGATCACTATCTGGGGTATAAATGCTGGAAGCCTAGCTTCTAGCCTGACCAACAATTCCATCCATTGACTCTTTAAATGAAATTCCTTTTCTGTTTCACTAGCCAAAAGTATTAATAGCTTGAGAAGATAAAAGGGCAGTTGTCAAGCATCTGGCTAGGAGATGTCAATCACCCACCCTTGCTCTTGGCCAGGAATTACTTGAAACAGACATAATCTCAATGTGGTCTATCAATTTCTCCAAAGTCATAAAGGTGAGGAGTGGAAGGAGAGGAAAACAGGACTTGATTAGAGGCCAAGTTGACCTCCTGACTTTCTGTCCTCCATTCTGGACCTGCTCACCACTTAGTCAAGTGCCAACCAGGGTACAGTGCTCCTTCCACTCCTCCCGGCTGGTGCTCGGACTGCCACACAAAGTCCCATTCTCAGGAAACAGTAAGAGGCTGAGCCCACACCCTCCTTTGTGGCATCTTTATTTTCCTGCTTATGATGTAAACACGGGTCAGAAAAATCGGCTGCACTGAAGCACTTCAGCAAAGTGGAAAAGAGGGAGAGTGGACAAGGAAGGGGCAGGATGGCAATTCCAGACTGGCTTCCACCAGGGGGTGTGTGGCCCAAGTCTTCAACCAGAGGTTGCCCTGGACAGGGAGGGGCAGGACCATGCAGCGCAGACTCTGGCAAGGTGGGACAAGAAGGACCAGTCACAACAGGAACTGTAGCTGAGTTTATTCAGTTTTGGCATCACGCTGGTGTTTGATGAAGCTGATTAATCCATTGGTGGACGAATCGTGAGAAGTCACCTCAGCGCTACCCTCAAGCTCAGGCTCAATTTTCTTAGCCAACTGTTTTCCCAGCTCCACTCTGCCAGGAAGGGGAGGAAGAAGGGGATAAGGAAGGCTCCAGTGTTGCTACTAAATCTTCAAGCCAACCCACAGACATCCCCCACCCTCCTGAGTAAGCAACTCACCCCCACTGGTCAAAGCTGTTGATGTCCCAGATGATACCCTGAACGAAGATCTTATGCTCATAGAGGGCTGCAGGAGTGGCAGACAGGCATGTTAGGGATCCCCCATCCTTGTCCAACTGACCCCAAGTTAATACCTTCCTCTACTCACCGATCAAGGCTCCAAGAATGAATGGAGTGAGCTTGGTGAACACAATAGAGTTGGTTGGTCGATTTCCTTCAAAAACCTTCAGAAAACACCAAGAAATATCCCCAGGTTAATCCTGACCCCCAAACTCCTACAGAAGGAGAATATCCTGCCTCAGAGGACAGATCCTCCCATTCCATAGGACAACCCAAACACACTATGAACCCCTACCCTGGCCCTACGACTTCATCCCTCCAGCTCTGGCATGCTGCTCCCAAACCAACTTCAGGAGCAGTGCTGACCTTGTGTGGCAACAGCTTCTCAATGTCCTCTGCACTCTTTCCTGCAGCCTGGAGCTCCTTCCGGGCCTCCTCGGTTGATTTCCCCTTCATCAGCGCCTCAGTCTGGGCTAAGAAGTTGGCTAGGAGGATCTGATAAGAAAGATAGCCAGTTACACTGGAAAAGACTACTGGAGTCTCAGGCCAAGGAGCAAGGCTGCCTGGCACTTCTCCGTTGAGGTTAGTTCCAGCTGAGTGAGTCACCCACTCAGGATTCACTTTTTCACTTCCTCCTTGAAGACAGGAAGGATAGAAGGCACATCCGATGACACCAAAGGGTAGGTAACAATGCTGACTGCTCTTTAAGGAATATGTACCACTTGCCAAGGACCCTCCTCTAACAATTTTGCCAATATCTATCCTTTAAGACCCTCAGAGGGAGAGGCTTCACCCCTCTTTTCTACCTGAACCTCAGTTTTCTCTGAAACAGCGCTAGATCACAGAACTCCAGAGCAGAAGAATCGGCATTCAAATCCTAGGTCACTGACTCTAGAGCTTGTGCCTGGAATAACCCTATGCCACTCTACATGCCAAAGACAAGGCACAATAAATCCTCTTCAGGGACTTTGTTAGATTCAATTGAATGGTCTTCCCATTTGCTGCCGAGATAGGCAAGATCTTGGCTCCAGGATCTTTGTCCTTTGCTGTTAGGCCTGTGCATTTCATGTTATAATATACAACAAAAGGGATTTTACATGGAAGTAAGGTTACAGACCTTAAAAAGGGGAGACTGGGCTGGGAGTATGGCTCAGTGGAAAAGTGCTTGCTTAGTATGTGAAAGGCTCCTGGTTCGATTCCCAGCACTGCACACACACCAAAAAGATAGACTAGCCAGGCATGGTGGCTTATGCCTATAATTCCAGCTACTCGAGAAACCTGGCTCAAAATAAAATTTTAAAAAGGGATGTAGTTCAGTATGCAGAGTTATGGGTTCAATCCCCAGCACACACGCACACACGTGCACACAGACAAAACAACAAAAAAAAAGGGCAGGTACCTGTCACTGCCAGTGCTGAAATGAAGAGAGCCATGAGCCAGGGAAAGTGGTGGCTTCTAGAAGCTGAGAATGACTATTAGGCAACAGCAAGGAACCTAAACCTCTGACCCACCATCACATAGAAATACAACTTGAATGAGCAAGCACTTTCCCTGCCTCCAGAAGGGAATGCAGCTTTGGGAACACTTGATTTCAGCCCATGAACCTTTACTAAGCAGAGACCCAACAGAGCCTGCTGGATTTCTGATCCATGGAAGTGAGAAGATAATAAATGGTGCTGTTTTAAACCACTTGCCATGGCATTGATAGAAAATTAATATAACTGCTGATCAAAGCCAGGTCTTCAGAGGTCTAGGTGTAATGTGAGCCTGAGAAAGTAGTGAGGAGGGTCCTCATGGGATTCTTACCTTGTGATGCAAACCCTTTCGTATTGGGTGCTGGGTCTGGACCGGGATGAGGAAGTCACAGGGTATCATCTTGGTGCCTGTGAAGAGCACTGTGGTCAACCACGCAACCCCAGCCCACGGGAGCTACCCACTCGGCCTACAGGAGAATACCAGCTTAAGTGCACAGTCTCAGCTGTCGTGACCCTGCCCTTCCCCAGCACCACCACTGCTGCCCAGGCCAGAGTGGACCCTACCTTGGTGGATGAGCTGGTAGAACGCATGCTGGCCATTGGTCCCTGGCTCTCCCCATACAATGGGGCCTGTCTGGTGGTCCACACGGGCGCCGGACTTGGTGATGTACTTCCCATTGGACTCCATGTCACCCTGGAATGCAGACATTTTTGCTCCTTTGTGCACTATGCTACAAGTCCTGCCTGAGACACCCCAGCCCTATGAGGAACCCTTGCAAATGTGTGTCACAGGCTGATAAGCTTTCTGGTCTAGACTACTTTGCAGAAAGGAGCTGAGCAGCTGCCAGGAAGGGAAGGAAAGAGTGAGGGAGTGTGGCAGGGCAGGGGGCTGGGCCGACACAAATGTCTCTGGCCACTCAGACCAGGAGAAGATGGTTTCTGGAGAGAGGGGGAGGACTCCTCTAAAAACAATATTTGGGGCTAGATATGTAGCTCAGTGGTACAGCACCTGATTAGTAGGCATGAGGCCTTGGGTTTAATCTCCAGCACCAATAATAATAATAAATCAAATTATAGCCACAAAATATTCAATTGATTTTTTTGAGAGAACCAAACTGGGGTCTAGAGTGTATAGTCTTTGAGGGCTGCCACCTCAGGGAGACACTGGGCTTTGAGCACCCACCTGGACCCTGGTGATGGCAATCCTTACTCAGGAAGCTGGGACTGGGCAGCCTTAGCTCTACTTCAGTGGCAGGATTCATTTTTAGGTGTTGGCAAGTTTGCTGATTCTGTCCCATGGAGCCCAAGGACAACAAGGCAGGGACCAGGTCTATATTAAATAAAGTAGGTAAGGACTTTCCAGAACAGAATCTAAGAGAGGCGGTGCTTGATCTAGAGTGGGACAGAGGTCCATGTAACCCGAAGAGGCAAGCTACGCAGGCCATGAGGGTCAAGGCTCACAGCCTCACCCTATGGCGGTCACACCAAGTGAGATTCAAGAAGGAAGTGATCCCATCTGTGACACATGCCAGGTCAAGCCAGGGCACCATGAGAGCCAGTCATCATGTTCCTCCCACATAGTCAAACTCAACAGACACTTGGAGGTGGCACAAGTCCTGGTCACCAAGGTGCATGCTCGAGGGTAAGGGGCAGAGCTCCTGGAGGAGCTGAAACTTGGGCCTCTGGACTTCCCAGGTGCCAATAAGCCCTTCTAGCGCCAAGGCCTGACCTAGCGAACTGGTACCTGTTGGAAGTAGGCTGCAAAACGGTGCAGGTACTGGTCATAGGGCAGCAGGGCGTGCGTCTCACAGCCAAAGCAGTTGATGTACCAGATCCCCAGCAGAGCCAGCAGGACAGGGGCATTCTTCTCCAAAGGTGTTGTGCGGAAGTGCTGGTCCTGAAACAGGAGTAGGTGGAGTGGGAGCTGAGCAGCTGCCAGGAAGGGAAGGAAGGAGGGAGTGCGGCAGGGCGGGGGCTGGGCCGACACAAAGGTCTCTGGCCACTCAGCACTCACCATCCAGTGAGCCCCCGAGAGCAGCTGCTCGAAGTTCTCAAAACCTATGACACAAAAGCAGTGTCAACAGAAATGGCCACACCCTGTGTCCTCTGGGCAGTGGGCACAGCTTCTTCTGGAACCAGAAAAGGCTGGATGTGGAGCCAGAAGAAACAGGATCTGAGAGAACTGGCGCCTGCAGAAAGCCTCTCTGTTCAGAGTTGGCCCCAATGCAAAGTTGGATCTAATTCCAGCTGGGGACTGAGAACAGCACCGCAGCTGGGAGGGGCAGGAAGAAAGGCCAACCTGCGACCCCCAAAAGAAAACCTGGGCTGAGGTGGGCATGGCTGCACGTGCCTATAATCCCAGCAACTTGGGAGGCTGAGGCAGGAGGATTCCAAGTTCAAAGCCAGCCTCAACAACTTGGTAAGACCCTAAGCAATCAGAGAGACCCTATCTCAAAATAAAAAAGGGCTGGGGATGTGGCTCAGTGGTTGCATGCCCTGGGGTTCAATACCTGATTTAAAAAAAGAAAAAAAAAAAAAAGAAAGGAAGAAAGAAAAGAAAACCTGGGCCTTCTGCCAGATCTTAAAGAAATGTTCCAGTCAAGAGCAGAGGCCAGCAGCCTTTGGTGACAGCAAGGTGTTCCTCCCCTGACCCCAGACTGCAATACCATCCCCTGAGAGGGCTGCAAGACAGAAACACACACTCACCCACGTGCAGGGCAATGGAGAGTCCAATGGCTGACCACAGCGAGTAGCGTCCGCCTACCCACTAGGAGAGACAGGAAAAGGTGCTGAGGAAAGGCCAGCACACCCCGCCCCCCTCCCTCCTGCCATCAACTTGTCCCTGGAGAGCACTGCTCTTCCACAGGTGCAGATCAGAGGACCTGGGCCCAACCCACCTCAGGCAAGCTAGATAGCAGGCCAGGCGCTGGCGACTCTCTGGGCTGACAACAAGGCAGACTACACGTGGGACTGACCAGAACCAGACTCAATGCAGACCTTACCATGCTGGCCTTGTCTCCGGCAGACCCAGAGCCTCATTCCTGTGCCTAGCCCACCTCAGATACTGACAGACAGAGACACATACCTGTGCCAGCCCTCACTTCTTTGGATGTCAACAGACCCAGGGCCTCATACCTGTGCCAGCCCCAAATCCTCAGATAGTGGCAGACCCAGGGCCTCATACCTATGGCCTCACCTCCTCAGACACTGACATAGAGCATCTCCTACCTGTGCCAGCCCCACCTCCTCAGATAGTGGCAGACCCAGGGCCTCGTACCTGTGCCTACCCTGCCTCCTTGGACACTGACAGACCCATGGCCTCATACCTGTGCCAACTCCACCTCCTCAGATAGTGGCAGACCCAGGGCCTCATACCTGGGGCTCACCTTAGGCACTGATGGATCCATGGCCTCCTACCTGTGCCAGCCCCAACTCCTCAGATAGTGGCAGACCCATGGTCTCGTACCTGTGCCTACCCTGCCTCTGGGACACTGACAGACCAGAGCCTCATACCTGTGTCGAGTCTCACTTCCTTGGTTACTGGCAGACCAGGTGCTCATACCTGTGCTTAACCCACCTCTTTGGACACTGACGGATCCAGAGCCTCATACCTGTGCCAGGACCCACCTCCTCAGATACGGCAGACCCAGAGTCTCATACCTGTACTGGGTCCTGTCTCCTCAGCCCCTGACAGATCCAGAGCCTTAGACCCGTGCCTACCCTACCTCTTAGATACTGATGGATTCAGAATCTCCTACCTGTGCCAGGGCCCAGGTCAGCACCACACACCAGTGCCCAGGTACACTTCCTTGGACAATGAAAAACGTGGCATTGCCTGGCCTTGCCTCCTTGGACAAAGACACAGATCTTGTACCTCCTATCAGGTTTCAGCAGGGCCTCCTCAGCCACTGGAAGGACCAGAGCTTCATACCTGTGCTGCCCAAACCCACCTCCATAAACCTGACCCCAGGCTTCATACCTGTGCCAGGCCCTGCCTCCTCAGATGAACAGGCTCAGAGCCTGATACCTGTGTCTGGACATGCTCCCTCTGATAGTGACAGCACCAAAACCTCCTACCTGTGCCTCACCCTGCCTCCCGGGACACGGGCCCAGTGGCTCATACCTGGGATCTTCTCAACCTCAGCTCTAAGACACACCTACACCTACCATTCACACTGAGACTTCTGATGCCACACCTGTGTGCTCCTTGTGGTATCTCTGAACTCCATGCATATCTTCCCAACACCTACCACATTCCTACCACAGGCAGTGCAAATAGACCAGTGGGGGAAGAATGAAGTAAGTGAAATAATCATGCCAATAAATGTGAAACTGAATAACAAGTGTTTGGGAGAACGTGAATATGGTAATATGGTACCAAGACCAGTTATAAAAGGAATCTGCCAGGAGCTTGAGCCTAGATCTGAAGAGCAGGCATTATTCAGAGGAACACTGGAGAAGCATAGAACAGCATATGCAAAGGTCCTGTGGCAAGAGCCACCCAACAGTGAGAGAATTAAGCCTTACAGAGCAACGTCACTTCTCAATTCCTTCAGGGATGGTCCAAGGCTACAACCCCATTATATGCAAAGGAGAGGCTTTTGCACAGAAATCCAATAGATGTTTTGTCTGGAAGCCTACTAAGGCAAGCTGGGTAAGAAGAAGCAAAGCACAAGATAGACCATGAATGAAAGAGTGAGAACCCAAGGGCTGAAGCTGAGAGACAAGGCTGGAGTACTGGAGCCTGTGGGTGAGGTGAGAATAGAAGCAGGGAAACCACCAAGGAGCCGCAGTGTTGATCCAGACATTCTGGACTCGGGAGCGGAGTCCTGATTCAGGGAGTTCAGTTAAATAGGATGCATCAGAAGAATGAGAGAAGGACGGCCCAGAGACTGCTGGCTTGAGCAGAAGAGTATAGTGGGGTCCTTCACCTGGAAAGGGTCTGGGTTTGGGGGGTCAGCTTATATCTGATGGACACAGCTGCAGACCACACCATGTTTGACATTGCCTTTCAGATCCTGCCTAACACATTCATTTCTAGAAACAAGGGAGCAGCTCTCTGGTGAATCCAGGCTCTGACCTTGGCTGAGATCTGATCCTCAGATTTCACCTCAGGAAAAGCCCAGCGACGACATATCTGACCTGAGCCTCTGAGCCTTCCAACTGCAGACTGGAGTCTCTAGACCTTACCTTTACCTGCAGTAGGCTCCCAAAGCATACCTGACACATGCAGCATCTCAGTCAGCTCCAAGTCTGGGTCTCACCTGCCTCTGTTCACCACACCTTACCTTATCCAGCCAGATATAGCCCTACATTTTTCCTCACTTTGGCAACTCAGACCTTAGGGCAACAAGAAAGTGATGGCACAGACCACACCCTAGACAGGTTAGAGGTCCTCAGGCCTGTGCAGTAACCTGATCTCTGCCTGTCACACTTGTCCAGGGATAGCTGACCTGGCTCAGGGCATTCTACGTCTCCAACCTGACCCTACCTCTCCCACCTCAGGATTTCTGAGACCTCATCAGACAGACCTAGATACATACACCTATGATGACTATGTTTTTCTGACCTAACTGTGCCAGATCCTACCACGGATGGTCCCAACTATATCTGACACTCCTCCTCAGGCCTGGCCAACCACACCAATTATGCATTTCTGGGTGAGGCCCCGCCTTCTCTACTTCATCTCTTCATAGCTGGGGTGCCTTTGCATCTGAATCCAAGTGGAAAGAACCCACATAAGACCATGTTTGTACACTTTTCCCATACTGACCCTGATCCACAGACTAACAAAGCCAGATAAGCCTCGGAGACCCAGCTCTGCCCACCTGTGTTCAACTCCAGCACCGTACAATGTAGGCTGGTATACCTGCCAGAGCCTGGCTCCAGACACTGCAGCTGGTAGAACAGGTTTCACCTAACTGTCTGTGACTAACCTTGACCCCTCCAACTCAAATGCAGACCCAGATCCACTGCTTGGAGCCCAACACAGATTCTCTTCACCCCCTTCCTGGAGATCAAGCTCTATTTACATAGGCCTGACCCAGTAGTCTCTTTTTTTTTTTTTTTTTTTTTTGAGAGAGAATTTTAATATTTATTTATTTATTTTTTAGTTTTCGGCGGACACAACATCTCCGTTTGTATGTGGTGCTGAGGATCAAACCCGGGCCGCACGCATGCCAGGCGAGCACGCTACCGCTTGAGCCACATCCCCAGCCCTGACCCAGTAGCCTCTATCCCACCTGGCTCAGCTTTTCATGTCTCACAGAAAAATCCAACACTACCAACCTCAGCTTAACCTCAGCATTAGCAACCTCACCAAGGAGTCTCAGAACCCCCACAGTGCCACAGACTCACATGAGAGATGTTTATCTATCACTGGTGGCTAAACCATGCTCCTTAAAGCCAGAACCATGCCCCAAGAATTTCACCTGCAAGACTCATGGTATACCTACCCATGTCTCATTTGAGGCCTGCAGACCTCTTGTGAGACCCACAGTGCTTTGCCTACTCTATAGACTCCAGTGCGGTGAGCTTGACCTGAGAGGCTATGCTGCCTCCGTAAGTTGATTCTTTAGGCTGTACCACAGAGAAGCAGGTCTATACACTTTTGCCTGAATCCAAGTTCTTAAAGAGCCAACCTATGCTTGACCTTGGCTCTTTGGACCATGATTTCTGCCTACCTGTGCTTGACCTTAGGTTCTTAAATTATACTTGAGCCAGCTCCACCTACCTTTGGCTTGCCCTTGGCTCACCCTTGGCTCCTCTGCTCTCACCTGGTCAGCTCTGTCTACTTGGCTTTGACCCTGGCTTCTAGACTGTATTTGGTAGGTCTACCTATGCTCCATTGTGGGTCCTCAAACCATACCTGGAAGGCTATTGAACTGTGCTTGATATTGTCATCAAACCCCATCTAGTCAGGCAGTTCAAACTACTTGTGCTGGAGCCTGGCTCCTCAGACTGCACCTGAGAGCCCAGTTTTACCCACTTACATATGACACTGGTTCTTTAGACCATTCCTGGAAGGTCATCCTCTACCTACCTGTACATGACCCTGGCTCTTCCGACCACACCCGGCAGGCCATCTCTACCCATCTGAGCGTGGCCCTGGGTCCTCACACTGTAACTGGCAGGCCATCTCTACCTCTGTCTGTGTACCTGACCCTGATGGACACACAGATCACACACAGATGGACAGCTCCACCTACCAAGCCTGACCGTGTTTCTTCAGGCACAAGAACCAGGTATACATACCTTTGCCTAAATCCAGCTCGTGAAAGAGCCAACTCTACCTACCTGCGTTCAACCCTAAATCCTCAGGCCTCAAGACCACATCTGGAAGGCCAGCTCTGCCTACCTGCCTCTGGGGCTGGCTCCTCAGACCACATGTAGTAGGCCAGCTCTGCCTACCTGTTCTTGACCCTAGTTCTTCCGACCACACCTGGAGGGCCAGCTCTACCTACCTGTGCTTGACCCTGGCTCATGCACTGCACTTGGTAGGCCAGCTCTACCTACCTATGCTCAATCACGGCTCCTCAAAGCACACCTGGAATACCAGGTCCACCTACCTGTGTCTTACCTCTAGTCCTCAGACAACACCTGGTGAGCCAATTCTACCTACCTTCCAGGACCCTGGTTCTTCAGACCACGCCTGATAGGCCTGAGCCTACCCATGCTTGATGCTGGCTCCTCAGACTGTACCTTGAGGGCCAGTTCTGCCTACCTGTACCTTATACCTCTGCTGCTCATTCGTCATCCAACACATTCAGTTCTTCCTACCCAGGTTTCACTTTAACTTCTTAGATCTGAACAGCTATGCGCAATTTTAAAAACCTGGCCCCCAACAGATTTTACCTGACAAACCCTGCTCTACCCACCTGCTTAACTCATGTTCTTCAGATCCAACAGACCCAAAGATACAAACCTGTGCATTAGATACAGACTCCTTAGACCTTACCCAAGAAGGGAAGTTCCTCCCCTGCCAAGAGGTAAAGTTCTACCTGAGAGAGCCAGAACTACTTACTGGTGCCAGATCCTGGCTCTTCGGACCACACCTGGCAGGCACTCCTCATATCTCACCTGAGAGGCCTAACTCTGCCTATATTCCTTTCATTTCCTCAGACATCATCTAAAGAACCCTATTCATTATCCATGAGCCTTACCCTGGCTCCTCAAGCCCCACCTGAAAAATTGACTCTACCGACTAGGGGACAACCTCAACTGTGACAGATTTTAATGAATCTAATTAGTCACGGCTTTCCAGGTCCATCTACCTGTGCTTGCCCTATTATCTGACAAACTCTACCCACAATGCCTGACCCAGCTCCTCAAAAACTAGGATACAAACTCGGACCTGACCTCCGCAGTTTAGACATTTCTTTGAGACCCAAAGTACAAAACTGGGCCTCACCTCAACTCTTCAAACCTCACCTGCCACCTGCTCTACATACCCGGGCCAAACCCAGGCTTCATACACTTTACAGACGGATGCTGTTTTCTGACCCTCTGCATTTGCCTGATGCCATCTCTTCAGTCTTATCCCAGGGAACCTTGAAGCACCCACTTGTGCATCTCCAGAGCTTTCAGATGTCACCACAGGTCACAGTTATGACCTGGACCCAATCATGGATTTTTGTCATCACTTGTCAGACTCAGTTCAACCTACCCAAGCCTATTTTTAGTTCCAGTGTCCATACCCAAGCAATCCAGTTCTACCTACATGTGCCTAATCTGGCTCCTTAGGCCTCCCCTAAGAAACCCAATCATACATATCTTTGTATAATTCTTCCAGCTCCCAAGAGCTCAGACATGTTTCCACACCTGGCATTCTCCACTGTACATACCAAACCTGCACAGACACTCCTGGACTTGTTAAGGACCTTCAGCAGGCTCTCTATATCCTGAGCTCTGCCCATCATACCTGATTAAAATGCTGGAACCAGGGGGCTGGCCTGTGTTTGCATAATTGTGAAATCTAAACACCTCATATCAATGTCCACCACCTGGACATTCTAGATGACCTGCTACCTGATCCTCACTTTGCAGAACAAGTCAGAAAGACCCCAGTGTATACTACATAGATCTAGCCCTCTTCCCACAGGGCTGGGTTTAAGTACCTGTACGTGACTGACTCCTCAGACCTTGCTTGATAGGATCACTCTCTAAATACCTGAATATCCTCCAGAATTCATGGACCTCACCTGTATCTTTCCTTGTCCTGGTTCCTTCTCTAAACTCACCTATACCTATCCTGGCTCCTCTTCAGACCTCACTTAGTTCTACTGTGTGTGCTGACTCAAGCTGAGCCCTGAGAGACTCCACAGTTTACCACCATACTTATGCCTCTGCCTGATTCCAACCCAAGGCTGCCCCAAGGCAGACCCCAGCAGACTGGGTCTTACCACTCATACGTACCTCTACTGGACTGGACTCTTCTGATCTCATCTCATAGCCAGTGCTATAACCCTCTGCCTTACCCGATGCCTCAAACAGGCCTGAGAGACCTGTTTTAGAAAATTTACCCGTTTTTGCCTCTGGGCCTCTCAGACTTTATCTTCTCGATTCAGCAATATCCACACTAATCCCAACTACAGCAGGTATGTGTTATGTCTAGTCTGGGCCAGGAGGCCTCCACTGTGCCCACCTTGGCATAACTAGTTGGTTCCATGTTTTCCTATTCAACTGCATTCCTAGGCCTTCCCTGTAAGACCCATCCCTCTCCATAAGTCAAACTTCAAACTCTCATCTGTGTATACTGAGCACTTATAGACAACGAAACCCTGTTCTTCTGGGCTCCTCAGCTAGCAGAAGCACCTACACATCCCTGCCCACCACCTGCTCAGATGCCAAATCCCAGGGAGGAGGTGGGAGGTGCTCCCCTCCTTTATCAGGCATGCAACATTGGTTAGAAGCTGCACAGTCTCTCAACCAGGGTTCCTCATCTGAGCCACAGGATGCAGAAAATGATTTGAGTGACTTCTCAATTCTTCCAAGGATGGTAAATAACTAGTCCCATTCTAGAAAGAAGTGAACTCATTATACACAGTGGATGGTCTAGGGCTTTGGGGCTTCATTCTCTTCCCAGACCCCAGTTGAAAAAGGCTCTTAGAAAACTGGCAAAATAAGATTATATCTGTGGATGCTGTCACCATGCTAAGAGCCTCCATGTCAAAGGCCAGTGTGAAAACACTCAAATGGGTGATGCCCCTTTGGGTGTGACTGTCACAGCCATGTGTTAGAGCACCCCTCCTATGCCCAGCCATACCCACTGCATTCAGAGCCCACACCACACCCTGGGCAGCACCCTGCACCCCAAGCCTTCACAGCCCTTCTCACACCATGGCTGCAATCAGGCAAGCTGCAAGGAAGCTCCTATTCAATGCCTGACTCTAGTGCAGGTGTGCCCCCGTAACCACCTATCAAGGTTTGCAGTGCAAGCTGCCCAGGCACCACCTGCCCAGGCCCCTCCCCACCACTCCTCCAGCTGCTCCTGCAATTCCTGTTGCTCCTTTCCAAGCCTACTGGGGCCCACCTCCTGCCTCACCCTGCCCCTTGGCCTTTAAAGACTGTGGCTGCAACTTAGAGAAAGGTCATCACTGAGAATAACTCACAACCACAGCTCAATGAGGTGGGTGGAGGCAGCTCTGGTTACCCCACAGGGGGTGATATTGGCAGGCACAGGGGAGAGTTCAACCTGGCCTGCAGGCTCAGCTTGCCACAGTTCAAGTGGAGCCCTCAACTTAAGTGGGTGGCTCTTGCCCTACAAGTCTCGGGCCTCTCTGCCTTTCTCAAATCTGGGCATGCAGCAGGAGCTCAATAAATGCTGATCTAACCTTACAGGCCCCTCATCTGTGGCTCAATGGCCATGGTTTGACACAGGACACATAATTGACCCAGCACAGGAAGTGCCTGTACTTACATCCCAGAACTCGAACATGTTTTGAGGGTCAATTCCAAACTCTTTCACTTTGGCCTGAAAATAGTAAAGGGAGAGAGGAAAAAGAGAGTATTTGTTAGCAGAATAAGAAAAGGAACATCAGGAAGGGAGGAGTTATGTCAGACAAGCTACAGAAGTGCCTCACCTTCCTCCTAGCCCCACCTAGGGCAGGGTGAGACAGCCCCTGAATCAAGGCCCAGGACCTGCCCACCCAGAGAGATGCCAGGGGACCTGCAAAGCCTCCTGCTGAGGGGGTCTGCCTACCTGATATAAAGTCCACATCCAGCTTGGCAACAGCTATCACCTGAGTCCCCTAGGACATCTGGGAACCTCAGCTTAGGGCTGGACCCTAAGCATCAGCAGAGGCCACCTCCCAGTCCAGGCTATGCTTAGCCTGGACAACTAACTGCCCAGTCCTTCCCAAATCTGGGAAGGTGCCTCCATTTCAGAGAGCCTGAATACTGTTTTTCAGGCATGTAGTCACCTGGGTTGGCAGGCCAGCAACCCCTTACCTGTTCCTCATAGAAGCCCTACCAATAGTCTGAGCCCTGTGTAAAGAAGGCAGATAAGACACTCTCTGGTTAGCTGACTTTGACCTATTCTGTCTACCCCTGTGGGCAGGTCAGTACTGGAGACGGAAGTAATTGTGGAGGTGATGGAGGAAGTCAAGAAGGCCTGAGTATGGTTCCCTGCTGTCATAGCCCAGCACAGCGTTGGCCCCCCCTCCACCCACTCAGGGTCCAGCAAGGTTTACAGGTGTTGTACTTCCTAAGGCACACCTCACTCTGCCCTGCTGACCCTGCCTCCCTTACCTCATACAAGCTCAAGGCCAGACAAGCTATGAGAACTGTCAGGCAGGTGACCTGGGGTCTCATCCCAGCATCACTACCTCACACAATCACCAAGTGCAGCAAAAAGTCACACCCCGCCAGGTGCAATAATGCACATCTATAATCCCAGCAACTAGAGAGGCTAAGGTAGGAGAATTGCAAATTGGAGGCCAGCCTCAACTATTTGGCGATACTGTTTCAAAATAAAAATAAAGTGGTCTGGGGATGTAGGTTAGTGGTAAAGTGCCTCTCTTTGAGTTCAATCCCCAGTACTGAAAAAAAGTTGGGGGAGTCAGGAGAGTGGAGGATAAATATTAAATTAAAAAAGTCACATCCCTTTACTGGGGCTTAAGTCTCTAGTGAGAAATGGGATGCATCCCCCACTCTCACCAGGCATTACACCCAGCATATTCCACTTGGGGAAATAGCAGGTGGCAGAGGCCATGGGAGATCATGAGTATGGAATATTCTGGATATCAGTCAGTCCTGGGAGAAGGACAAGGTTATCATGATCCCACTGACTGAATACCCTCCTTTGGGGCAGCAAAGACTGGATGGGAAATGTAATGAAGGCAAGGCTGGCCTGCGGCTCACGGGCAGTGAATCCTATCCCACCATCTGTGCCAAGATGCTCCAAACCTGTGAGTTAGTTGTAACTCAGCACATGTATTCCAAAAGGCCATGATCTTACCGTGACCTGGGCTTTTCGAGGGAGGGAGCATGGAGGGCCACACAGGCACTTACCGTGTTGGTAGACAGGGCAACAAAGTGCTTCGCAACTGCAGAAGTCTACAAGAAACAGAGCCAGTTACATCAAACTATGCGAGAGGGGCAGTGATCCTCCCATCACTAGAGAAACCAGGGCCTGTGCTGGGGAATGACTAGTCCTAATCCTTGGGTCTGAGGCTGCGGGAGGACCCTCTTATCAAGGTTAAGATCAAAATGGCAGAAGGGTCACAGGACAACATGCCTGTCTCACCTCACAGGCGTACAAAGCCCAAGAATGGGGCTGGGGATATAGCTCAGTTGGTAGAGTGCTTGCCTTGCATGTAAAGACCTGGGGTTCAATCCCCAGCACACACCCCCCCACACACACACACACAAAAAAAGCCCAAGAATGTCCCTCTTCTTTAAAAATGGATGTGGCCAGGAGCAGCAATAATCCCTCTGGGACAAAGGGCTTAAAGAAAGGGGCCGAAGCCAGTTAGAGCAGGTTCTGCCACATTTGGTGTGTCTGGGGGCTGACAAAGCCAAAGATGGACCAAAAAACAGGAAAGGCAGGTGCCAGAAAGGCTGCCTCCTGCTTCTAATTTAGGAGAAATAGGGCCACTCAAGTAGAAAGGCAGGCCTACCCAGGTCCTCCCAGCCTACACAGGGACCATCACCCCCATAAGGGGTCCCTACTACCCACTCACATCTTTAGCTGACGAGAGAAACCACTCCTTCGCCGTTTCTGCATTTGTAATGGTCTCCTGGGTGGTAAAGGTCTGCAATAAAAGAGTACAACAGTCAGCCTCCAGGCTCAGCAGCAGAAGCCACACAGGTGCCCATTTGTCATAAGTAGTAGTATTTGCAAGTCAGTGACAATCCCCATATCTGCTAACCCACACACTGACTGGTAGCTGTGCCTGAGGCAGAGGCCTGGAGGTACATCATCTTGTAATTCCAGCACTTTGCAACCAGCAGAGGACCCTAGGCAATGCCACAGTCCCTACCCTAATCCTGCAAGTCAGTCAAAGGGTGGGGCACCTCCTAGGGGATGAGCTGAGCCTGTCTAGCTAGGCTATATCTTAGAATTCTGATTCTTTTTTTTTTTTTTTTTGTACTTGGGATTGAACCCAGGGGCACTTAACCACTTAGCCACATTCCCAGCCCTTTTTTTGTTATTGTTTGTTGTTGTTTTTTATAGATAGGGTCTCACTGAGTTGCTTAGGGCCTCACTAAGCTGCTGAGGCTGACTCTGAACTTGCAATCCTCCTGTCTCAATTTCCCAAGCTGCCAGAATACAGGCATGCGCCACCATTCCTGGCCTGATGAAACTCATATTTTATGTGAATTAAAGTGAGTACACAGGGCCCACAATGATGGCACATGCCAGTATCTCAGCTACTAAGGAGGTTGTGGCAGGAGGATGGCAAGTATGAGACTACTTTGGGTAATTTAGCAAACCCCTGTCTAAAAATAAAAAGGACTAGAGATGTAGCTCAGTGGTAGAGTGCCCTGGGTTCAATCCCAAGTACTGCAGAAAAAAAAAAAAAAAAAGTGAATACACAGGGCATTAATGATAATAAACAAAACCCCAGTATTATCAGGGTGTGGCTCTAAGATTAAAAGGAATAAACATAAGACAGTAATTATAAGAAAGTACAGTCCTAGGTTGAGCACAGTTCCTGCAAAATGAATAGGTGTTACCTTATTTTTTTAAAAAATTTTTTAGTTCTTGGCGGACACAACATCTTTGTATGTGGTGCTGAGGATCGAACCCGGGCCGCACGCATGCCAGGCGAGCGCACTACCGCTTGAGCCACATCCCCAGCCCTAGGTGTGACCTTATGACAAAGATTCATATTGATCAGCTGAGGCTTTTATTAAGGAAACTGTTTGCTGCCAAATGAGGAATCAGGCCCAGAGCAGCTGTGTTGACTGATCCACAAAGCACTGGCTCCCTCACAACCAGTCCTGCGGTTCCAATGCCCACGGCGATAGTAGAACATCCATACCCTCCCCATACCACTGATGCCCTTACCTTGGATGCGATGATAAACAGGGAGGACTCAGGGTTCAGGTTGGCTAGGGTTTTGGCAATGTGGGTCCCATCAATGTTGGAGACAAACCAGACCCGGGGACCTCCTGAAGAGTACGGCTTAAGGGCTTCAGTGACCATAAGAGGCCCCTGTAAAGAGTCATAGCATCAGAAAGCAAGACTCCAGGACACAGGTCCCATAAATGGAGAAACCAAAGCCCTGGAAAGAACTAATAGTTCCCAACCCTCACCCCATCCCAAGGTAGTCTTTTCCTCACCAGGTCTGAGCCTCCAATGCCAATGTTGATGACATCTGTGATGGACTTGCCCGTGTACCCCTTCCAGTTGCCACTGCGGACACGCTGGCACAGAGCAGAGAAGATGTGATCAGCCTTTCACTGCCATATAACTTACTGCTCAAAAACATCATTACTGTACGCCTGTAATCTCAGTGACTCAGGAGGCTGAGGTAGGAGGATTACAAGTTGAAGGCCAGCCTCAGCATTTCAATGAGGCCCTAAGCAACTTAGTGAGACCCTGTCTTAAAAAAGGGGGGGACTGGAGGCTGGGGATATAGTTCAGTGGTTAAGCACCTCTGGGTTCAATTAAAAAAAAAAAGTCATTACTCCTCTATCCTTAAACCTCAATTCCAACTTTCAGGGTGTCATAGGAGCTTCTTAAAACCACAGTGGTAGATCCCTACCATACTACACTGCATTTCCTCATTTAAAAAGGAAATGCAGTGATCACATCCTCGCCTCACAGTAATGCTATCAAAATTTGCAAAAAAAAAAGGGTAAAGTTTCAGCAGAAACTAACATCAGAGACCAGATGAAATGCCAACTATCATGACCAGGGACAGAAATATAAGAAATTCAGCCAACTTCCAAATGGACCTACAAATGATTCTTTCCCCTGGTATTCATAACCCTGAATAGCTACCCCCTGTGCTGACCTGTGCACCCATTGAAATACTATGAAAATGATGGAATGTGACTGAGAAGCTTTGTCATATAAAAGAACATGCAGCCTGTGCTGGGCACAGTGGCACATGCCTATAATCCCAGCAACTTGGAAGGCGAGGCAAAAGGATCATAAGTTGGAGGCCAGTCTGGTGAATTCAAGGAAACCCAGCCTTGAAATAAAAAATAAAAAGGGTCAGGGGGCTGGGGTTGTGGCTCAGAGGTAGGGCACTTGCCTAGCATGTGTGAGGCACTGGGTTCGATCCTTAGCACCACATAAAAAAATAAAGATATTAAAAAAAAATGTGGGCTGGGTTTTAGCTCAGTGGTAGAGCACTTGCCTAGCATGTATGAAGCACTGGGTTCGATTCTCAGCACCGCATATAAATAAATAAATAAAATAAAGGTCCATTGACAACTAAACAAAGAGGCCAGGGATGTAGCTCATTGGTAGAATACCCTTGGGTTGGACTCCTAGAACTGCAAAAAAATAAATAAAAGACTTCTTAGAGGCTTAATGGTATTATTTCTGTGGGCTCAAAAGCAAAAGTAAAAAAAGGACTCATGTTGAAAAAATTTGTGGGTATGGATTTTACTTAATGAAATGAGGCTTTCCTTCAATAAGCTTCATAGGAGACCCACAAAATTTTTAAAATAACTGAATTTTCTGAAATGATATCTGCTTGAACTGAAAGGGATAGAGTAGGAAAGGAATATCTGTATTTCCAGACAGTAAGTAGTCTGATAAAACTATGCAGTTGCAAACACAGGCTACCTTTCAACTAAGGGAAATGAGTGCAAGAAAAGCCAAGAGCCTTGAGAAATTATTCCCAGGCCTCGAATCTTAACCAGTAAATTGCCAACACGTCCTGTTAAGATTTCAGAATTGCCATGGACCAGTGTGGTTTGCATGCCTTCCTTCCCCCACCTCGCTCCCCCCTTGAAGTCATTATCCTATCTCACCACTGTTGGTTGGGTGATATGAGAGAACGACAACTTGTCTAATCCACCTGTCCAGACCAAAAGGAAATGCACTGAAGGTACACTTGAGGAAATGCAGGTATTACTATGCCTGTACCTGACAATGAGGTTTGGACTTCTAGATGATAAAGTAATGGAATACAATACAGCCTTAGGAGAAACTGAGTGGGGTATTTTTTTTTTTTAATTTTTTATTGTTGGCTGTTCAAAACATTACATAGTTCTTGATATATCATATTTCACACTTTGATTCAAGTGGGTTATGAGCTCCCATTTTTACCCCATATAAAGATCGCAGAATCACATCAGTTAGACATCCATTGATTTACATATTGCCATACTAGTGTCTATTGTGTTCTGCTGCCTTTCCTATCCTCTACTATCCCCCCTCCCCTCCCCTCCCCTCCCCTCTTCTCTCTCTGCCCCCTCTACTGACATACATTTGTCCCCCTTGTATTATTTTTCCCTTTCCCCTCACTTCCTCTTGTATGTACTTTTGTATAACTCTGAGGGTCTCCTTCCATTTCCATGCAATTTCCCTTCTCTCTCCCTTTCCCTCCCACCTCTCATCCCTGTTTAATGTTAATCTTCTTCTCATGCTCTTCGACCCTACTCTGTTCTTAGTTACTCTCCTTATATCAAAGAAGACATTTGGCATTTGTTGAGTGGGGTATTTTGGACAAAGAAGGAATATGAATCATGGAGAGCCAGAGGCTGCTTTTAGCAGCCAACTTCCAAGATGATTTAACAGTGATCCCTGCTGCCTCCTGGCATCTATGCTTGTACAGTACCCTCTAAGGATGACCAGAGCTGATCTGTACAATCAATAAGATATTACAGAAATTAAAGAATGTGATTTTTCTTTTTTTTGTATTGGGGATTGAACTGAGCCACATCCCCAGCCCTATTTTGTATTTTATTTAGAGACAAGGTCTCGCTAAGTTGCCTCGCAGTTGCTGGGGCTGGCTTTGAACCCACGATTCTCCTGTCTCGGCCTTCCAAGCTGCTGGGATTACAGGCCTGTGCCACCGTGCCTACAATAACGTGATTTCTGATACTAGGTCACAAAAGACCTCAAGGAACTCTTCCTGTTCTCTATTGAGTTTGCTCACTCTGGGAGAAATCAGCTGCCTTATCTAAGGACTCTCAAATTCTGAGTGGAAGTCCATATGGTGTGCAACTGAAGCCCTCTAAAAGCCAAAAAGAACTGCTAAATTAGCCATCTTTAGAGCAGATCCTCTACCCTCAAGCCTTCAGATGACTGCAACCTCAGGCAACATCTTTTTTTTTTTTTTGTGGCGCTGGGGATTGAACCCAGGACCTTGTGCATGCGAGGCAAGCACTCTACCAACTGAGCTATATCCCCAGCCCTTTTTTTTTTTTTTTTAATATTTTTTTGTTGTAGATGGACACAATACTCTTTGTTCCATTTAGTTATTTTTATGAAGTGCTGAGGACCAAAACCAGTGCCCCACACATGCCAGGCAAGAGCTCTACCACTGAGCTACAACCCCAGCCCTCGGCCAACATCTTGACTACAGCCTTAAGAGAACTTAACCAGAACCACTCAAAAGTCCTGACCCAAAGAAATGTTGACTGTTATTTCTAGCTAAGTTCTCCAGTAATTTCCTACATATAAATAGAAAACTAGTATACGTGGTTTTCCCAAAGCCAGTAAAACCTAGCAAGGTTTTTTTTCTCTTTAAATAAAAAACTAATCAACTGTCATAGGAAAACTTCTATAATTAAAAAAAAAAAATGCTGGTGCAGTGGTGCACACCTGTATCCTAGCTACCTGGGCAACACAAGACCCTGTCTCAAAATAAAAAAATCTGGATATAGCTCAGTAGTAAAGCGTCCCTGGGTTCAAACCTCCCTCCGCTACAAAAAAAGAAAGGAAGAAAGAAAAAAAAGTTGCTCAGCTTCTCAACCTTCAATATCACCATCACAGATTTGCATCATAAAAAAAAAAAAAAAAAATGCTGGGCATGGTGGCTTGGAGGCAAAGGCAGGAGGATCAGATTTCGAGTTCAAAGCCAGCCTCAGCAACTTTGCAAGGCCCTAAGCCAACTCAGTGAGTCCCTGTCTCTAAACAAAATACAAAAAGGGCTGGGATGTAGCTCAATGCTTAAGTACCCCTGAGCTCAATCCCCCAATACCAAAACAAAACAAACACCAGAGGGAAAAATGTTTATCTTTAATACAACTGCACACACTCTTTCTTTGACCGGTTGAGGCTTTATGACACACACACAAATTCTGTAACTTCCTTTTTCAACTTTTCAATATATCCTAAATAGCACAGCAGGTAAGTAAAGCCGTAGATCCTGAATGCCTAATGGTAGCTAGGACTGCAATACAGGAATATACACTGATTTTACTGATATGTCCTCTGACAAATGATATGAGTTGTTTGTTTTTTACTTTTATATTAATTTTTTTGTTTTAATTTTGTGGTTCTGGGGGTTGAACCCAGGGACTCATGTACCATAGGCTAGCACTCTACCCCTGAACTACATCTCTGACCCAATTTTTTTTATTTTAAATTAGATATGGTCCTTTACCCCAACACACTTATTTTTTTATGCGGTGCTGAGGATCAAATCCAAGGCCTCATGCATGTGAGGAAAGCGTTCTACCACTCAGCTACAACCCCAGCCTCTGGCCCTACTTTTTTTTTTTTTTTTTTAGTTTTCAATGGACCTTTATTTTATTCGTTCATACGAGGTGCTAAATATCGAACCCAGTGCCTCACACATGCTAGGCAAGCGCTCTACCATTGAGCCACAACCTCAGCCCCTGGCCCTGCTTTTTAATACATAATGACTAAACATTTATGGAATACAGCATGACATTTTAATGCATGTATAAAATGTGTAATGATGAAATCATGGTAAATGGTATGTCTATCACCTCATTTATCATTTCTTTGTGTTAAAAACATTCAAAATCCTCTCTTACTATTTTGAAATATGCAATTTGTTTTTGGGTTTTGCCATGATAATGAAGGTCACAGTGAACATCTTCACCCAGTGATTCTGGGGAACTTTTGAGAGCAACAGCCATAAAAAGTGTTCCTCCCTGTTGAAATGCCACTGTTCATTAGTGTTTGGAACTGTAAATACACTTCAGTCTGAGGTAGGTAATCCAGCAGTCAATTAAGAGAAGGCTGACTCCATTGTGGGAACTACAGTTTCTACTTTGTGGAACTCTTATACTGAATTTTAACAGTTTACTATCCCATTTTCTGCCCTGTGATTTTTTATTCAATGTTTTGCAGTATTTTGATTGAATGCTGGCTACATTGCTTTAGAATGCTCTTTTCTTATGAAGTGAGAAATAAATTGGTTTGAAATGACAAAAAAAGAGAGAGAGAGGGCTGTCCTGGAAACAAGCAACAAAGATGGCCAGTGCCAAGGGCACCAGGCTCCCAAACCATGTTAGCTCTGCCAATGATGACGACTGAAATGCCCTTCCCCACACAAAGTCACATGGCTGACCACCCTAAGGGACACTTGAGAATCCAGATCCCCATCAGGATGCCAGACCTTCCTCCCTCCAGGAAGTTCTAATTACGACTGATGCCAAGATCACCTCCTACTCCTGGCATCATTTTCAGATCTGAAAATGGCTCTTGGCCAAAGCAACCAGACTTTGACCAGTCACAGTGGGGGCCTCTGCTTTCAGGGATAAGCAGTGAATGATCGCAGTTGAGCAGATGATCATTCCCAGGGCACGCATAACCCATACAGACATGCACACACCCACACAGACCTCTAGCCATCACCCTTGTACTCCAGGCTTGAGGATCTGTGACCTTTGCAGAATCACTCCTGAAATAGATAACTGAGGCAACAGCATTGACCTGGGGAATTTAGCTGTTCTCTAAGGCAATCCCTACACCCCACATACAGGAAAAGGAGGAGACAAAGTTATATTTAATGGACACTAACCCAGGAACATCCCTAACATGATTCTGAGTGGAAATAAGCTGCAGAAGGCCAGATAGAAAATGAATCTCTGTGTGTATGTGTATTACAAACATGTGATGATAGATGCTTCTCTGTGTGTGTGTGTGTTTATATGTGCTAGTATATATGCATAGGTACTTTGGGGAAATTTTCAGGAAAACATAACAGCTATCTTTGGAGAGTTGGCTGGGAGTGGGATCAGGACCTTTTAAATTTTTCCATCTGATTCTGGACTGGGAATAAGGTGATGTCACTAAAGAGGTTAGACAAGGCATCCCTTCCCTCCTGCACTATCCTATCTCAGGGATTTCATTTAACTTCAGGCCATTGCTACTGGATAGCTTATTCTGAGACCACAGATGTCTATAATTCAGGAAAGAGGCTGCCCATAGCAGTGGATCCCCTCCAACCAGGCTCTGGGGAAATTCAAGCCATAGCAGAGACCCCAGGGTCAGCAACTGTACAGGCCACCCCTAGTTGCGGTTTCAGTGATGGCCTGAGTCCTGCCTCTAAGAAGAACAGTAGAGCTTCTAATAAGGACTCCCAGATCTCCAAATACATGCACATGTGTGGCCAAGGGCAAGTCCGGCCCAGCAGTTACTTACCTGGCAGAAAGATTTCATTTTTTCCAAAACCTTGTTGACCTCTGGCATCACATCCTTGCCATCCACCAAAATGGGTGTGTTTGAGCGGTTCCGAAGGGCCACATGCAGCACTGCCCGATCCTGGGGACGAGGGTCACAGTGTAAAGAACCCCTTCTATCTACACCCTAGGGAAGTATGCTTCTAACTGAGCATGGTGTAGTATGGCCCAAGAGTTACCACTGGATGGCAGACCCTGAGGTGTCTTGGCATCATGGTCTTATTCTGGGAACCACTGTATGCTTATGGAATTAGGAGCTACCCCAGGACTCTGGAGAATGCAAAGCATGGGCTGCCCCCTTTGTGCTACAGTCAGAAACCAGTAGGGGACCAGGTATGGTAGTGTAGTCCCTATAATACCAGGGACTTGGGAGACAGGAGGACCACAAGTTCAAGGCCAATCTGGGCAATTTAGCAAGACCCTATCTCAAAATGAAATTTAAACAGGGCTGGGATGTAGTTTGGTGATGGAGTATCCCTGGGTTCAACCCCAGTACTGTAAGAAGAAGAGAAGGAAGAAGCAGTAGAAGAAAGGAGTCAGGGGGAACTGAACATGCTTAGGACAGGCCAGTGCTCAGTGTGTGAACAGTGAGAAAGGAAAGTGGTACAGAGTGAGCAAAGACAGAAAGGTGACAACACAGGTCAGAGACACGCAATTAATGTCTTCAGTGAACCAGGGCTCATGAAGCCTAAAGTAACCTCATTCTTCTGATTAGAGTACTCTGTGTCTGCTGGCACCTTCTGAAGAGTGCCCTTAGCCCCCTGGATGTGGAGCAAGGCAAGTAATTCAAGCTTCCCTTACCAAGCAGCCTTATCAGTACCATCTGCCACAAACCAACCAGACCGTAAGTCTATGACAGGTGCCAGGCAGCTGGCTTGGTTAAAAGAGCAAAATGGCTCCATCCAGCTGAAGCCAGCAGGGGAGTCTTTGACAGAAACAGGTTTAAAGGATCCAGGTGGGCAGAAGAGTGGTGATCTCATGTGTTTGTGAGGGGCTCACTAAGACAGAGGGCTTCATGCTATCCCACATCCCACCTGCCCAACCCCTTTCCTCCCCACATTCCATAAGGAAACAGACCCCCAAAGGAAACCCTCTTTACCTGCAGGCTTCCTCACACTAGCCTAATAGTGCAAGATGGGCTTGTTTGAATCCCAGCTCTTCCTTTTCCAGCTATGACATCTTGGATTAGTGACTTAACCTCTCAACCTCAGACTCCTCATAGGACAGAGACTAAGTGCTCAAGAGTTTATTATGCCTCCAGGTTTCCACTGCAAGTCAGGAATAGGGTCCCCAAAGCCTGGCCTTACTGAGGGTTCCTATTGACTCCTATTGCTGAGGAGATTGAGGTCTTTTGTGATATGAAATTCTTGTCCTTAGTAAAACTTGCAGTAAAGATAAATCAGTTAAGTTCTCTAATAAAATGCCTGAGCAATCCTTGAGAAACTCCCTCCCTTCAGGGTTGAGAAGGTACCTCCCTGGGCTGACACTGAGAGCCATTCCAATTTGCTTACCAAATCCTTGTTGGTCTTAGAGAAGACACACCCCAAAGCCCTGCAACCAGCCCCCAAAAGAAACAGGACTTTAGGCCCCTCCTTAAGCAATAGCATTGCCTAAGAGAAGAGGTGAGGACACAGGGTGATGCTAACAGTCAGATGAACCCCAAAAGGGAAGGAAGAGGCCCCAGGGGGTATGTGGAATCTGGTATGCGGCTGCTCACCTCAGTGCTATTAATCTTCTCACCGTTGAACATGCTCTCACGGGCAGCCTCCACACCCCTGGACTTGGCCTGAGAAGAGAAAACACTGAGGTCTGGTCCTGCTCACAATGGCCACCACACATCCAAGTCCCCAAGCACAAGGCATGGCACTGACTGCAATGGGGCTGACAGAAAACTACAGCCTGTCTCCCTCTCCCATCTGGAAAGAGGCTACTCAAACATCAGGCACTGGGTCCCCTAGAATGCTGCTCAGAACCTGAGCCAGGCCAGGCATTCAGAACCCAGCAGCACTGAGGTAGTTACTGAGGTCCATCAGGACCTGGAAGCTCCCCAGAGCTTAGCTCACCCACCACACAGGGTTCCCCAAACAACATTACCAGGTCCACCAGCATATGCATCACTTCCTCCGTCACAAGGTTCTTGGAGTAATCCACCAGAATGTGGCCATGGTTGGTGTTAAGAGTCAAGCTATAGAAAGATGCAGAAGCTACTGACCACACCCCTGGTCCCTCCCAGCCTGCCCCTGGATCAGAGCAAGGCAGGAGCTGTTTCCACCAGAAGAAACATCCTCCTTATGCCACAACCCCACAGGGCCCCTAGCTGCCCAGGACAGTGGGTGGTGTCTGTAACCTTCCTGCCCAGGCTAACTTGGAACAGCAGCAGCACACACCGAACCAAGATGCAGTCAGACCCTCGGCGTGGAGTCATGGCCTGGGAAGACGGGATACAACTGCTTTGCAGGGCCCAGGGAGACACCCCGCAACCCTGCAGACTTTCACTCTGTACCTCACCATCAGGGAGTTCCAGTCCTGGAGCCACAGGCAGTGTCCCATCCCTACCTTCTCCGCCGCCGCATCATCCGTGATCAGAGCAAGCTGGGACGCATTCCCACCCAAGATTTCCTCCCATACTCCTTCCCATTTCCAGGTCATTCCACAGGTCTCTGGCCTTAGCCTCTTCATCAGAAATTATGCCCCGACATCTCCACCACGGCCACTCCTGGCAAACCCCCGCCCAGGATGGCCACCCTGACCGCACTCCAAAGATGTCCTAAGCCTATTGAGGCCAGGACCAGGTGGAAGGGGGCAGCTCTTTCCCGCCTGTTGCGTCAGTGAAGCCCCTCCCCACCAGTGCCTCCGGAGTCCCCCCTAAAGAGCTGTGGGGGAGGGGGGAGAGGAAGGCGAGGTCCCCGTGGAGGGAGGCTGCGGAGGGGGCCGCTGCTCCTCGTGACTCAGCAGGCCCCAGACTCCGGACCGGCGAACACGTTCCAAGGAGGCCTCAAGGGCAAAGTGCGATTTTGGCCTGGGCCCGGCTCGGTGGCCGGGGGTCCCTGGGGCCCTTGTCCAGGCCTCCTGGCCCCAGCCCCGCGCGCGCACCTGAAATGATTGAAGCGCTCCTTGTCGGCATCAAAAAGGCGGCGCAGGTTGAGGTCAGAACTGTTATCTTGGTGCCATTGCTGCAGCTTCTGGAATTGCGGGTTCCGGGTGAGAGCGGCCATGGCGGGACGAGAAGGGCACACCGACTGAGACGTGCACGGAGGAAGGAAACGGGAGCGGGCGGCGCGAAGGGAGCGAGCAGCGCCCCGCGGGGCGCAACAGCCTTTATGGCGCAGGCGCCGGGCCCCGCCCCGGCCCCGCGCCGCTCCCCGCCGCCCCGCCTCCCAGGCCCTCAGCCCCGGCCCTCTCCGCCCGCTGTGTGACCTTGGCGGCCGCGGCAGCAGCAGCTCTGGAGACTCAGCTGGGCCCTCCCTGCCACCGAGAGGCCTTCTGCGCCACCGTCCACTGGCCTCTGCCCGGAAGTGACTGGGGTCAGAGACTGATCTCCCTGTGCCTCGGTCAGCTTCATTCATTCTATAATTCCCTAGAACACCTTCCAGGTTCCAGGTGCTGTGGGTACTTGAGTACCAAATAGCTAAATAGAATATATTTTATGTCAGATGCTGTTAAGTGATATTGAGAAAAGGCAAGCTGAAAAGGATGCTGGGAATAGGGATTGCAATTTTAAATAAATGGTCAAAGCCAGGTGCAGTGGTGCACACTAATTCTCAGAGAATCAGGAGGCTGAGATAGGAGGATTACAAGCTTGAAGTCAGCCTAGCCAACTTAGTGAGACTATATTTCAAAATAAACAATATAAAAGAGCAAGGGATGTAGCTCAGTGGTAAAGTGCCCCTGGGTTCAATCCCCAGTACCTAAAAATAAATAAATAGATGCTCAAGAAAAAAATCTCATTGATGAGAGGTAACATTTGATCATAAGTCTAAAGGTAAGGGAGATTTAATTGGCTATCTGGGAAGAAAGCATTACAGCAAAGAGAACAACAACTACAGTCTTAAGACAAGCATGTTTAGATATTCCAGAAAGAGAGGGCAACTACAGCTGGAGTAGAGTGAACTAGGAAAGTGATAAAAGATGAGGTCAAAGAGGAACAGGAAGGCAACAAGATCACAAAAGAACCCTCCAAGTCATTGAAGGGCTATGGTTTTTGTTCTGAGAGAGATTGGAGGTCATTGAAGGATTCTAAGCAGAGGAGGGATATCAACTGCCATGTTTTACTAAGGATCATACTGACAAGCCGCAAGAATAGGACACAGATAAGAGGCTAGTATAATAATGCAGGCCAGGGAGGAAGGCCGCTTTGGTCAAGGGTATAGAAGTTGGGAATGATGGCCTAAATGAAGAATTCACAACTTCCTGGTGAAAGAATGGTTAAGATGACATCCAGGTTTTGACCTGGGTTCCTGGAAAATTGGAATTGACATCAATGATTCGAATGAGGAAGATGTTCAATGAGGAAGACTAGGAGAGGTGCAAGTTTGGAGAGAAATAACATGATCTAGGGGCCCCGGTTGTGGCCCAGTGGTATAGTGCTTGCACAGCACACACACACACTAAAAAAACATGTTAAGTTTTTAAAACTGTTAGACATCTAAGTGGAGGTATTGAGTTGAGTGTCCACATCTGGAGCATAGGACGGAGAAGGTCTGGGCTGGAGGAGAAATTTGGGAGTCATAGTGAATTGATAGCCATTGAAATCACAAACCTGTAAAGGAGGAGTGCATATAGTCAGAGAAGTACAAGAACTGGCACTCTTTTTTTTTTTTGCAGTACTTATGATGGAGCCCAGGGGTGCTTTACCATTAAGCTACATCCCCAGACCTTTTCATTTTTAGACAGGGTCTCACTAAATTTCCAAGGCTGACCTTGAACTTGCAATCATCCTGCCTCAGCCTCCCAAGTCACTGGGATTATAGGCATGTGCCTAACTAAAACTGGCACTCTTATGTTTTGGTAGCAGGGAATGAACCCAGGAGCACTTAACCACTGAAAGACATCCCTAGCCTTTTAAAATATTTTGAGACAGGGTCTCACTAAGTTACTTAGGGCCTCACTAAATCGCTGAGGCTGGTTTTGAATTCTCAATCCTCATGCCTCAGCCTCCCAAATTGCTGGGATTACAGGTGTGCGCCAACATGCCCAGCTAAGAACTGGTACTCTTAAATTAAGCTTCTCTATCATCTGGTTTCCCAGAAAGGCCAGCCCACTAAGGAGTGTCCCAAATTGCTACAGCTCCAGGCCTAGGCTTTCCTCTGGCCTACCTCCCAACTCCATGCAATTGCTTCACAAATGGCTTCTCTCTCCCTGCCCAGAATGATTTGAGGCCCTAAAGATTAAAAAAAGCAAAATAGTAAAGGCTGAAAATTGAAGAAATTGAAGAAACGAGTGGTCATAGGACTTTCCAGGGATCTGCCCTATCCACATGACATTTCACTACAAGTTTCCAAATGTGTTTTGGGGTATTAACCTACCTATGCCACACTACCTTCTCCAGTGCCTTTTGTCCTCCCATGTAAGAACAGCTTTAGGTATTGAGATAAGAGGCAGTAGGTAAGGTTTCTAATGGTTGCTGGTTCCAAGGTGTCACCTCTTTTCCCCCTTATTTTTTGTGTATTTTAATGGTATATACTGGTGAGATTGCTGCATGTTTGTACATAACACTATATCACAATGCAATTTTTCTAATTCTATTCCCCAGTATTTTCCCCTTTCCCTCCCTTCCTACCTTCCCATGGTTCCTTTCCTCTACTGTATGCCTTAGATTTTCAACTTCGACATTCTATAATGTATGCCACCAGCAGTTGGCCTGTTATTCCCAGCAGTTTGAATTACTCCAGATTTCCCTGCTATATATATATATATATATATATATATATATATATATATATATATAT